GGGGGGGTGTGTGGGAGAGAAACTCCCTTCTTTTGCAGACCATTCACATGCACTAAAACCTTATGTAACACACAACAGGAAAGGGAAAACCCCAAAAAGCATAGTAGGGCCTCTTTAAGGAGTTAGAAACAAGAACATCTGCATTCTGCAACAATGCAATATTGAACAGATGGAAAAGAGCTCAGGGATGTTGTATAGAGAGAAGAAAGATGTTGTTTCAGAAATGTGATAGTCAGAAATCCTGACGGAACAGCTCGAAGCAGCTTCACTTGGAAACATCACTTTATTATGACGTAAGCTCCAAATAGAAGAAGGAGGCTGCAGGAAAGTATCTAACTGAAAGTTTTTCAGCATTTTTCAAACTCCATTAACCCGATAGCTGACATTGACAGAAATGTAGCTGTTGCCTGGGAAACTATTTTTTACCATATTGGATATATAACAGGCTGCAGAAAGCTCTTAATGCAGCAAAATAGAGAGGAACACAAAACCACGAAGCAGCAACGACAAAAAAATGCACAAAGCTAAACAGAGGGTTGATGATTCCCATTAGGTTTAGATTTCATTTTCTCGAGGGTGAAGAGTTGAGAAAGACATATGGATAGAGATTTGCATATGATGCCAACATGTGAGGAAAGCATCAATTCTACACAGTGTGCATACAGTACTAACCCCTGAAGGCATTACTGTCATCCTCCCACCTTTTCATATTCTGTGTCGTTATGGATGCCAAATCCTTACATCATGTGGCACTGAATTACCCTGCAGTAAGCATGGGGTTTGGTTGTATAACGATGTGTAACGGAGGCATTGTGTGTCAGAATCAGAAACAGGTTTATTACCAGCTAGGTTTACACATACGAGGAATTTGACTTGATGCCATGGTGCGTGTGTGTTTGCAGGAATGTGGACACTCTGATTGTCGACGTGTTTCCGGTGTTGGACACTCCGGCCAAACAGCTGATCTGGCAGTTCATCTACCAGCTCCTGACGTACGACGAGCAGGAGCGTTGCCAGGGGAAACTGTCACGCTTCCTGGGCTTCAAGAGCAGCGGTGAGGCACAAAGAACATCGTGGAAATAATGAAACAGTATCAGGACTCAGTCAATAAGATGCCTGTTGGATATGGTTGATGGTTCCTAACATGTGAAGTGGAAAAACATAATTAAAAATGTGTGATTTAATTGAAAATCAAGGTGTTTTTGATCAACAACTTGGTGTTAGATTAACTGTAAGGTTGTTTTTTATAATTAACACAAAGGAGCAGGTGCATATCATTTGCAAAAAGGAAAAGCGATGCTGAATATCAGAACATCAGAATCAGATTACTTTATGCTCTCAGGGGAAATTGGGTTTCATGACAGATGCTACATTTTAAAATACAATACAATTATAGAAAAAATTCTGATTTAAAATAGAAAAAATACCACAAAAGAATGTTAAAAAAAGATCAAATTAATTTAAAATAATGTTGATTAAATTAAATTAAAAAAATTAAAACAAATATATATAATGAATAAATATACAAATGACAAAGAAATAAAAATGTGTGTGTTTTGCAGCCGTTCTGGAGCCTGGCGTCAGCCCGGAGCAGCTCCACCGGCGGAGCAGCTCCATGAGGGTCTCGGGGTCGTCGTTCCGCAACCCGATCCGAGAGAGGAGCTCTGACGACTGCATCATCGGGACTCACCTGGGAATGGGTACGCTGCAGATCACAAGAAGAAGGATTCACTTTAACATAACATCTGTGTAATCTCCGCAGGTTTGGTTTCAATAGCTTTTCATTCTGGATCAAAAACTTCTCACCCAAATGGGAAATGAAGAAATGTTTACCTGAACTGAGACAACATTATTATATGTTTGTCTTAAGAGGAAACCTACGGAACAGGATTAGGGCCACATTATTATTTTTTTTTGGGAGGATTTGAAAAAAAAAAGTTTTTTTTTTGTTGTGAGAAAAAAAGTCAGAATTCTGACTTTTTCCTCGGAACAAAAAGACATTATTTTTTGGGGCGAAAAAAGTCAGAACTCTGACTTTAATCTCAGAATTCTGACTGTTTTCTCAGAATTCTGACTTTTTTCTCAGAACAAAAAAAAAAAATGTTTT